AAGCAGCACGGCTTGAGGGCCGATGCCGTGACCCCACATTGCACAGCAGCGCACTCACGCCAGTGTTCACACTCAGGATGGCCACGCAGCTGCTGGTGTCGCCTGTGGGCTCCTGCAGCGTGGGATGGTCCGCCGTGTGGGATGGTCGCAGCGTGGGGCGGTCTGCGGTGCTGTCCTCACTGCATTCTCCAGGGCGTGTGCCCTGTGCACTCCGTGGTACCTGAAGTCCAGGAAGCTGCCCGTGGGTGTTGGAGTTGGGATTACGGGGCAGACGCAGTGGTCGGTAGGAGCGAGTGTTCGGGAAGCTGTAGGTGTTCGTGGCGCGTCGCCTTTGAGAGAATTCCTCAGGCTGCGCTGGACTTGCCGCACTGTGTGTCCTCCATAGCATTGAGGGAGAATGCCCGGGAAAAGACGGGAAATAGCCTAGAATATCAACGGTGATGGCCCCGATGGCTAATGGTGGCAAACTTCTTTGCTTTTTTGTAAAGAAATAACACAGGGTACTAAAAGCCCACGTGTCCTGGAAGCAGAGGGTCTGCGTAGGAACTGCCGACTCTGGAAGGGCCTTGGCTATGTCCCTGGACATCTCCCGCAGCTCCTCCTATCTCCCCTGAGTCTGGCCCAGCTGGGAAGGACGTGGGGGCCACAGGTTAAGTGGCCACCCGGGGGCCTGTGTTCCCAGACTGCCTGGCTGTGCCGGGATTTCTGTCCTGGGAGAGACACAGCTTCGTCTCTGGCCTGCGGCCGTGTCCCCAAGGCTCTGTGCCCTGCGTGCAGAGGTGGACATGTCTTCCTCTTGCCTCCTCGTGGCCACAATGTTATTTTTTTGGAAAGTTGTTGGCCACATAACCTGGCTACCAGCCCAGTGGCCCAGTGTTGGGAGGGGGTCGGGGGGAAGGACATGACTCGGGGACAGTGCCTGCCTTCAAAAAGCGCTTCCTTTCTTCCTCGTTCTCCAGGTAAATTCGAACCACCATTATTTCACCCGAATGTGTACCCCTCGGGGACAGTGTGCCTGTCCATCTTAGAGGAGGACAAGGACTGGAGGCCAGCCATCACAATCAAACAGGTACGGGGCCTCCACCACCCATGTGGGCAGGGCTGCCTCCGTCTCCCCTCTGGACGCGCGGGTCTGCGGTCGTTCTCAGTGGCTGAGGCCGAGTCTCACCGTGTCCCCCTTTCAGACTGCTGACACCCGTCTTGTGTTTTTGTTTCTGGCACAGATCCTATTAGGAATACAGGAACTTCTAAATGAACCAAATATCCAAGATCCAGCTCAAGCAGAGGCCTACACAATTTACTGGTTAGTAGCAGCCCTCGCCCCGCTGCTGGCAGCTCCTCTCCATCCCAGCCAAGGCCGCCTGGCAGGAGGGGAGTGGAGCACACAGGCTCACCCTAGAGACAGCTGGGGTCCGCACCTCCAGGGGAAGGTCGGGGGCATAAACCCTGTGGGCAGCAGGCACCGACGCACAGGGTGTGCCGTGGGCGTGGACGGTGCCGGAGTCCTGTTTGGGGGAGGGAGCAGGCCAGGTGACGGGGGCTGTCTTGGGCCCCTACTAGGAGGGGAAGGACCTGGCCATGGGTGCCGGAGGAGGCCATGCTGAGGGGCTTGTCCACCTGCTCAGCCTCCTGTGGACCCCAGCCTCTTGCACTGCCCCTGCTGCTTATCCCCAGCCCCCCATACTTGGCTCCTCCTGTGGGGGCCCAGCACAGCTCAGTGATGTGATGCTGTCACATAGGCCCTGGGCTCCCACCCGGTCCCTGTGAGATGCTGCTGTGGCTACAAGGGTTCCCGTGGTCCTGGGGTCACTGTCTGCACTGAGGAGGGCCTGGTGTGAGTGAGGATGCAGACGACAGCCAAACAGTGCTGGGGACAGCAGGGAGGACCCTGCCCTGAGCAGACGCCATGCGCCTGCCTGTCCTGTCCCCAGCCCTGGGGGCCGCCTCTGCAGCTGCTCTGGGCAGGTCCATAAGAAGGTGGGTCGGGGGCTCCGACCCCCACTGCTGCACCTGCAGCGTTGAGAAACCCAGCCCCATCTCAGCGTGGGTGCCCACACCTCTGAGGGAGTCTCAGGGGCCCCAGTGGCCAGGGACCCAGGAGGCTCACCCTGCAGCCACCCCACATGTGCCTGCCACCGTGGGCATCGGAGGCCCGCTCCCTCCAGGGGGCATCTCCTGGTTGGGAGTGGGAGGCTGAGGGGTCACCGTTGCCCTAAGCCCAGCCCGCACAGGTTGTGAGGAAAAGCACCTGCTTTTGGCCGGGCGCAGTAGCTCACGCCTGTAATCCCAGCGCTTTGGGAGGCCAAGGTGGGCGAATCACGAGGTCAGGAGTTTGAGACCAGCCTGACCAACATAGTGAAACCCCATCCCTAGTAAAAATACAAAAAGTTAATTGGGCGTAGTGCTGGATGCCTGTAATCCCAGCTACTCAGGAGACTGAGGCAGGAGAATGGCTTGAACTCAGGAGGCGGAGGTTGCAGTGAGCGGAGATGGAGCCACGGCACTCCAGCCTGGCAGCGGAGCAGGATGCCATCTCAAAAAACAGAAGGCACCTGGCTTTGGAGAGATGTGTTTCTCCCTGGATTCAGGCCCAGCCCAGGTGTCTGCAAGGTGCCCTCCCTGCTGGCTGAGGGTGGCACAGAGGCCCCAGGCAGGGAGCAACTGTCACAGCAGCCACCCCAGCCTCAGCCTGGCTCCCCTGCACACCTCACAGACGCTCAGTCGGCCGAGCCATTGCTGGAACTGGCTCGTGGGATGTGGCGTGGCCTGGGTTTGTGTGTTGGCCTGCTGTGCCCTAGGAGTTCCGTGAAACGCATTCCACTGGGCAGGAAGCCACAGTGCTCACGAGTGTCACGTGGCCCTTGAGGTAGAAAATATTTTCTTTTTTTTTTTTGAAACAGAGTCTCACTCTGTCACCCAGGCTGGAGTGCAGTGGTGTGATCTCAGCTCACTGCAACCTCCGCCTCCTGGGTTCAAGTGATTCTGCTGCCTCAGCCTCCAAGTAACTGGGATTACAGGTGCACACCACCACACTTGGCTAATTTTTGTATTTTTAGTAAAGACACGGTTTCACCATGTTG